ACATCTCAAGTCTCCGCTAAGTGCGGAGCCCATTCCCCCCGTCCTACTCCCCCTCCGCTGGCGGGCGCCTGGGCAGGTACTGTCTTATTTCTGGCGGCTGCTCCGCGGGGCCTGGCTGGCGGGAGCCCCGGCAGGCCTCGGGTCCCTGGGGCCCATGGCTCGATCCACTTCTGGGTGACTGGCTGCCGGACTCTTCCCTGCGGCTCTCGGGGGCTTCGGCATTGCGGTGGCTGGGGGAATTCTTCTGAGCCGTCTCTCCTTCTCCCTTCGTGGGGGGTCGGATTTCCTGGGTTGGCCCCTCCTTGGCGCCTTTGCTCTTGGGCTCCCTTTGGACGTCTTGGGCTTTGAGTCTGCCTCATTGCTCTGGTGGGGGGTGGGGGGGGTCTTCGGCTCTTCACAACCACTATTGAGCATTTTTTCTTGTGCACTCTTACAAACTACAGGTGTTTGGTTCCAGGTACTCAGAGATTCACTTCCATACAGAAAGCCCATATTCTGATCTTCAGGTACCACAGAGTACATGTCAGATTAAATAATACTACTTATACTTCAGCGATAGTATCTAGGTGCTACTTTATTATATCTCTTATACCATGTCCTTTGGTTCTGCTGTTCTGTTTCCATCTCTTTGCAGGTGATGAAGCAGACTGAAGATGTATTATCGTTGTCTCCCTTTTAACTCCTCTTTCTTTAATCTTTTCTCCCTTTTTCTGTTTTTTCTTTCCTGTTCTATTTACATTGCAGTGTCCATTTAATCTGTAAAACTCCCTGCATAATTATAATAAAGCTATTTTTATGCATAAATCAAGTGGAACACTATGGCGATAGCCGTACTGCTCCACTTGTGAAAGTAAAATCTATTGGGCTGTTTTTGGCATCAAGACAATTATTTTTATTGCCAGACAGGACACTGTCAATAAAAAAGTTTCGTACATGGTTGTGCGCACTAACCCTGCTCCCACCTGCATGCCCACATCCGCCATTGTTACAGGCAAAGAAAGGATATGGTAGCTCCGCCCAACGTGAATCAGATCCACTTTTCAACCGCGCAGCTAGGGCAGCATCAGTACAGTCGGTACGATCCATCAGTTGGGTGCTAAATAGGAAGATGTTTTAGGTTAGTTGAACTTTAAAACTGACACTGTCTTCAGTCAACCAACCTCATGGTTTCAAAGATTTGTGAACATAACAAAAAAGTATTTTCTGTAAATGATGACAAGAAATGTTTAGACTAACTTGGACTTAAAAGTAACATATAAACATTGAATAAAAGGTTTAATCTTTAAATAAAGTCAACCTATTTGAATAAACAAAACAAGTGATGAACTCTAAAGTTGAATATGGTTTAATATTTTTACAGTATTTCTTTACAGAAGTTGATTTAGTTGACAGAAATGTTTGAGTTTCGACATAAGTTTACAGTATGACAGTTTTTTTCTGTGTTTGCCTTCATTTTCTGGATGATACGTCTCTTATTTAACAAGAAATTAGCACATGGTGTTTCTTCATTCAAGCAAAATTATTCTTGATTTTTTTTTTCCCTTGATGGTTCCTTGGCTCCAATCAGAAACTCAGTCCTTTTTCCTGTGGAACCTGTGGAGAATCCTGCGATGAGTGACAGTCCTGACACATTTCTTATGTCCATTGTTGGTTCCAATTTAGGACAAAGTAAAGGTGGTTCCTCATTATGGAGGAGCAGCAAAGGTTTCTGGCATCATTTCCATCCTGGCTATTTCTCTGCTTTGGTTCTGTGACAAAAAATCAGCACTCTGTCTTACTGGCCTACATCAGTAGGACTGTGTTGGTAGATTTACCCGCTCTAAGGCAATAAAGCTTATTTCTATTCTATAATCCAATGTTTTAAACCAGATGTACCTCAGCTTAGGAAACTGGTGATTAGTTTAAACAGGTGTAATAAGACTAAACCATTTTGCTTTGTGTGCCAAATACAGAGAACCAGTACAAACACAGCGGACAATCAAAGCTCAACTCAATCCAGAAGGACAACAACAACAACAGTTGCACCATTGGAAATGCCCCCCGAGAAGAATACGAGAACTACGACGAGCTGGTTGCAAAGTCGCTGCTCAATCTCGGTAAGATTGCAGAAGATGCTGCCTACCAGGCCATGACCGAATCCGAGATGAACAGCAACTCCTCCAACAGCGCTGGGGAGGATGATGAGGACGATGAGGGCAGTGAGCAGGACGATAGGCAAGGTGACCTGAGTGTAGACCTGGACAGCGATGTGGTCAGGGAGACGGTGGACTCTCTGAAGCTGCTGGCTCAAGGTCATGGCACCATGCTGCCTGAGGACGGATACTCAGAGAGCGCTTTTGTGGAGGATGGGCGGGGCCAGGGGGTCCGGGGCCAGACGGAGGGAGGTGGAGAGGAGGTGTGTCTCAGCAGTCTGGAGTGTCTGAGGAATCAATGCTTCGATTTGGCAAAAAAACTGAGTGAGTCACCACCATCGGACCGACCAATCCTGCACAGTAGCTACGTCCAACAAGCAGTGGACCAGCAGGTGATGCAGCACCTGAACAGGTGAGATTACTCTTAACTCCAAACAAGTTGGTCTGTATGTTGGTTCTGTGTTTGTTGGTAGTTGTCTTGCTTGCTTGTTTTGTTGGTTGGATGGCTCAGGGAACTAATCCAGACCTGCTGAATCCTCACTGGGCTTTCCCTCTTAGGTATGACACCTATCCACAAGGAATTCAGGAGGATTCCAGACCAGTGGAGCGCAGCTACTCTGAGATGTTGAACCTGATGAAGCTGGATGAGCAACTGAGTCCAGCATCAAGAGGCTACAGCTACAGTCAGGAGGGCGACGAGGACACCACATCTGTAGCGTCAGACCGCTCCGATGACACATTTGACATGGCCAAGGGAAACCTGTCGCTGCTAGAGAAAGCCATCGCCCTTGAATCTGAGAGAGCAAAGGTGATGAGAGATCGGATGATCTCAGAACACACAATGCCCCGTCGTGATCAGCATCATCACCGTGTCCACGGGGAGCACAGCCCCAGGCTTACTATCGCTGCAGAAGAACGCAAGTCCAGGATGCATCCGGATGGGCTGAAAAGGGCGTACTACCCTAAAGGTAGATACACATACACACTGGGAGGGGTGGGATTAACACTATGCTGAGGTCTTTTTAGACCTTTCGCTTCTGGCTAGGGTTTTGTCAGATCATTTAGTCTTTCTTTAGGTTTAGAGTCATTGCTGATAAACAACAACAAAACATGTTACAAAATACTGTAAACATTTTGACCAATTTTTTAGTATGTGGAACCAAGTATAGCTCACATTTCAGAGAACCCAGTTAAGTTCTCACTGATAAGAGGGTGGAACCAAGTAGATTTACCCATCAGAGGGTGGAACCAGGTAGAATTACCCGTCAGAGGGTTGAACCAGGTAGAAATACCCATCAGAGGGTAGAACCAGGTAGAATTACCCATCAGAGGGTAGAACCAGATATAATTACACGTCAGAGGGTGGAACCAGGTAGAAATACCCATCAGAGGGTAGAACCAGGTAGAATTACCCATCAGAGGGTAGAACCAGATAGAATTACCAATCAGAGGGTAGAACAAGGTAGAATTACCCATCAGAGGGTAGAACCAGGTAGAATTACCCGTCAGGGGGTGGAATCAGGTAAGGGTTCCCTGTCAGAAGACATGTTTCCTGGAAAACCTTCGACACAAGGCCAGTCCAGCTCTTTAGGAAAGGCCCAGAATTGGTCAGATGATCAGAGCCAAGGTGTTTTTTCTGTGGTCCCTCCCATTAGACTATTCTCCTACTATTTATTCCCAGATTCCTCCAGAGGAGAGAAGAAGGAGAGCAAGTGTCCGACGCCGGGTTGTGACGGTACTGGTCATGTGACCGGTCTGTACCCCCACCACCGCAGTCTGTCTGGGTGTCCCCACAAAGACAGAGTCCCTCCTGAAAGTAGGTGCTGCAGCTTTTTATCTGCCTAAGGTGTCGTTCCTGTGGGAATGCTGGATGTTTCCTCAGAGGCAGAAATCATCTTATTGATCAAAATAAACCACTAGGATCTGCTGGGACCTTGTGTTAGGTCTACAGATCACAGTTAGAAGTGTCCATGAAGGGTTTCAAAGGACATAAAAGAAAACTGACCCAGGCACCAGGGTTCTGCAATTAGATAAACATTCAAAGGAACATTTATTAGAGAAAATAGACATTGAAGTTTAGCTTTCAATCCCAGACGGTGGCATCGTTCTTTAAAAATGAACTTCAGTAGCCGTTTAGACTTAAATCAGGCTTCCTTGTCCAAACGACATAATTTGACCGAAAGTCCAAAGTCAGATGAGTCAGAAATTTGGATCAGAGTACTATCATCTGATTGGATGCTGCCAGAAGAATCAGGAGTAATAAAATGTACCTGTAGCTCCACCCACTTGTCTTTACCTAGCCAATCAGATGACTTCTGCTTTGTGTCCATCACAAACATGAAAGCTTGTGCACGTTGTGGCCACGGCGGCTCTCTCCGGGCCGAGCTCAGAACCCGCAGTGCTCCTTGGAGATGTTCCGAGCTGTTGGGTGTTTCTGTGAAAGTTTGAAGGTTTCGGCATGCTGGCGATCCATCATCTGGCTTCTGCATGAACCATCAGTGTTTGTATTCAATGAAAACCTTCAGAGACTGCAGAACCAACCGAGGCGGAGAGCACGAAGAAAAAAGCTGAAACAATCACGAGGTTCAAATCTTTTAGGAACGACAAGAAGAAATTTATTTAAATCTGGTTTAATGTGCCAGTCTATGTGAATTCAATTCTCATCATAATCTGGGAATTTTTGAGGGCAGATCGCTGTAAAAATCAAACATTTTCGTTCTGAACAATCTGTTAACTGGGAGTTTCTCCTCTACGCCTTTTTATTTAGACTCCGTCTAAAGTTTAAACATGATTCCTTCTTCATGATTCTTCCTTCACAACATGAAGGGATCCAAAGTTACATTTTGTGCTTGATAGCTGCCTGAAATGTTCAATTCTGGAGAACAATCAGGTCCAAAAGGAATCACTTTTTTAGCACATTTACAAGGATCGGGATCTCCCCCAATGATCCGGCAGAATTTCCTCTTGAAGTTCATGAAGATATTCCAGATCAATGATTTCATCTTTGTCTGATCCTGTAGAAGCTCCATGTTTACTAGAACCAGTGAGAAATGTCCAGGTTTCTGGCTGGTGTTCCCAGACCTGGACTATCTTGTAAGGTTTCAGGTTGTGGTCCGGCCCGGTTTAAGGGAACCGCTTCCAGAAGACGTTTTGTTTTTACATTTCAGTCCGACTTTTTCAAGGAGAATTCTGAATCTTATCTTCCACACTAGAACCAGAGGTTTTACCAAGGGTGGTTCCGGAGAACTTCTTGGATCAGAAGTTCAGAGCCAGAAGGTTGTGGACTGGTTTGTTCTCAATCGGAGGTTCTAGAATAGGCTGTTTCAGTTCTGAAATAGGTAGTTGTACATTAGATGGTTCTAGATTAGATGGTTTTGGACCACAGAGCTAATAAATTAGATGGATCTGGGTCTGTTTCAAAACTGGGTCCAAAAGGAGATAGTTTGAAAACGTGAGTTATGTTTCTAACTACGGTTTTATGAATCCTGGATGACAGTCAGACGTGGTGCTTAAGCAGGTCAAGACTTAAGGCCAATTTATACTCAGAAACCAGGTCGTCTGCCTTTTAGTCACAGTGAATGCAGATATGCCCCCCCACCCCTTCCACAGACACTCTGCTGCACCTCTCCGAAATTATATGTGACCGTAGACAGAAGGCCTCTGATTGGTCAAATCTCCATCCGCTCTACTCTATACGTATTTCCTGTTTGGTTCCTTACCGGCTTGTTTTGTTTGTCTTACCGCCATTGTGGAAAACGACTGGTTAAGATGGAGCAGCTAGAAGAGCAAGGTGCGCGAGAACGCTGGGACCCTTTTCCTAGCCTGGCGTAGTCCTACTCAATTCTAGTCAGAATGAGTCTGATGCTGCTCCATAGAGCTGTGATTATGGGGCGTGTTTCGAATGAACCAGGAAGAAAAATGCCTCTGCACTCAATTGGATAGACCTACAACCAATAAGAGCAACGGAGTGCGTGACGTATGTTAAGCGACGCATAGTTGTTGTCAACAAAAATCAAAGCGTGCAGTTGCAAGCCTAGAATAAGAAGATGAGCCTTGATCGCGTTTCTCTGTTCCTCTTTTAAAATTAATTTGCTGTCGATATCTTCTAGAACAGACCTAATAGCAGAATCTACTCACCCCAACCCTCCAGCGGCAGCCATTGTTGTTGTCACCCAAGCGCGCTTTGGTGACGTGGTTGATTACGTTACTGTTGATCATCTGTCCATCATTGTATAAAGCCCGCCCTGACAATTTGATTTGCCCGCCAGATATTGTGCGAGCATACTCGCGCTACTATTGAGCAATGCCAGACCGAACTTCCCGACCTCAAACGTTGTGGGCGGGACTAAGTTCTGAATGGCACCCAGGCTACTCTTGCCCCCACTTCCTCACCGCCTCGGCCGTATCTAGACCCACAGCTAGTTCCTGATTGGCCCTCTGGCGTTGTGGCGTGGAATAACATTGCGCAGACCACGCTTAAATATTGAGCATACATAAAAAAGCTGTAACGAGCTCACTGCGACACACTGCTGTGGGAGGATAAGCAGCTCTTCAGTATCAACAAAGTCACATGTGACCTACCGGTGACCAAGTCTATATAACCATGTGACACCGAGAGTTCAGCCCCTACGCCTTCGTGCCAGAATGCTGTGGCGGTCATCAGGGATTCAGAGAACTGTAGTTACATACGTAACTCACATTCTATTTCATCACAACTGAGGTGCAGCTGAGCCAAAAAATTCCCCTGGGACCACTGGCAAGGTAAGCAGGGTCCACACGCAGGGTTCAGTGAGGGGAGACCAACAGGCATGGAGTTCCTTAATGTACTCCACCGAAGGTGGGACAAGAATGGAGGCTGACCCAGTTTCATGGCTGAAAGGTTTAGAGGACGATCTTTTATTTCCGGGTGGATCATCTCAATCAGTGGTCCTCCTAACTGTCAATCATTTTGTTGATATGTTTACGTAAGGCCGACCTACGTGCTCGTCCGGTTAGCCATCTTTTTCTTTCAGGTGTATGTGGTCAGCTACAGGGCTTTTGAAAATGGCGACAGTCGGAAGAGAAAAAGTGTTTACGAAGTGTATGAGAATAAAAAGAAAGGCCTCATAGGAGACAGATATATCCCAGAATGCTTTCCGTGGAGAGCTCTCCTCGCAAAGCATTATGGGATTTGCCGTCACAGCGACCCGCTGTCGCCATAGACTGTCGCTACCCGACAGTGTCGGCTAATAATTATCAATTGGAAACACGCGTCCGTAGAACCGCTCAACACAAACCCGCATACAAGAAGATGATAAGGGACTGAACTCCTGGTGTCACAAGATTATGTGGACTTATATGTCGATCACTGGTTGGTCACATGTGACTTTGTTTGTACTAACCCCAGGCTCACACCGACTCCGGTCTTACCGTTGCGGTGCGGTGGGTGCGGCGCCGCAGTGATTCCAAGT